AAAGAAGAAGTAAGAAAACATACAGGAATAAGATTGAATTCATGTAATAGCTTTCATATTGAGATAGTACAGCGCAAAGACAAAAATTTACTTATGTAATAAAAATTTAAATAACACCTAGCATGTGTATCATTGATGTCATTGGTAACTTTTTGGATTAATTACCCCAGTTTTTTTTTTCGCCTTTGCCTTTTATAAATCGTCAATTTTACATCTCAAAATAGTTTAATTGCTTTACAATATCAGTTTTATATCATTAAAATTTTGATCATTTTTTAAAAATATTTATGTTTCAGCATTCAACCATTTTCATTAAATAATTTATTGTAAATGAACCTCTCAATAAGCATTCAGACATTAATTTAAAGGAAATAATTTTGACTGATTACAATTTTGCATAGCACATCATAAATGATAATATCTACGGGTGCAATTAAGGGTGGAAATAGTTTCTAAAAAGACTTTTTAAGGATTTTGGGGTTGTTTCCTCCTTTGATTGTTAGAGGGGGGTGGACTTTTTAACTTTTGCGTTTTATAAATTTGATTTCTTCTGTTAACTGACGTCATTCTTTCCTTTTTTGTGATATACATTTTAAACAGATGTACAAGAATATAGATAATTATAAAGTTACGCACTTAATAGCTAAATCAGAAGTGAGCAAAAAATGAAAATGAGGAAAGAATGCAAAAAAGGATTTGCACCAAAAGTTCAATGACAATAATGTCAATTTTGCACTCGATTTCTAGAAAGGTCGAAGGAAGTGTGTATAGATATAGGGATTGTTTATACCGTATTCCCCTGAAGAAGAACGTAATAATTAGATTCCATTTACAATACCCTTTCTCAGTTACAAATATGCAGCTTGAAACTTCATTCATCTCACTAGTTGTATCTCTATAGTATAATGTAGTCTCTGAAGTCGTGATATGAAAAGTATATAATAAACAAAAACGGAAGAAAATTATACTGCCTTGCCAAAGTAAAAAGAAAATGCAGCAAAATTTTCCGTTGCTTCTTCTTAAACGATTTTTATCCTTAAGAATTTACCACTGAAACCGAAAGCATTTATCTTCGCGTACAAAATAAATGGATACCATGTTTACCTTGGTGATTTTTGTTATCACTATCTGATGTCGAATGCTGGAAGAATGTCATTGGGCAAAACTAATCTGACTGCTTCTTAGCCAAGCTCCCGGCACTAGAAGTGAAAGTAACGGGTCTTTCGGATGAGGCCTTAAAAACCGAGGTCCCGTGTCAAAGTAGGTGGTTTCACGATAGAGAATACTTAATGCTCAGTGGCCAAAGTACAGGCCTGAATTTGATGCCCTTCTTCAGAATATGGTGACGTCTTTAAGAGAGCAAAAAATTCTCGAATGGGACGTAAAACAACAAAAAATCAATCTTTCAATTACATTATATCAATCTGCCCGGAAAGGAACCCAGTACTTTATATATATAAAGTTGAATATCTGTAAAAATAATAATAATAATAATAATAATAATAATGAAAATAGGTTTTGTTAGGTTTGATGGAAACTGGTCAAGAGGAGTGTTTTCATAAATAATTGAATTTATTTAAAAAAGCGTCATTTTACATGTACAATGCAAGCTACATAGTCGTACAATGATAAAAAAAAAAGTGAAGGTGTGCAACCGCGATTGGTTCAGAAAAATACGAAACCAGTGGACCTTTCTAATTCTCTTTACTGTATATGAGCTATGATAAGTTGCAAAAAATCTTAGATTTCTATACATTAGAAGATATTGTGAATAATCTTTTTTAAAAAATTAACAAAGAAATTACAGGGTTGTAAAATTTTAATCTTAGTCATAAGAATTTTTTCCTTAAAAAAGGCATACTGAATTGCATGTTTGTATTCAGTAAATGTGCTGAATGAAGGAAAATATCTGCAAATTAGGTGTATTTAAAGCGTGCAAAATGCCAATAGTGTCAAGTACATAAAAATCATACTCAATTTGTGAACAAAGAATTTGAAGCAAAGTTTTAATTATTGGAAGGTATAAAACTGCGACAAACGAAACTTTTCTGTGGAAAAATTCTCTCGGCAAAATTATTCTATGGTAAAAAAAAAAAAACAACAAAATTCCGATGTAAAAAGTCACTAGGACTTCAGATTATAAGCCTTTTTAACAAAGATTGTTTCCTTGGTTTTCTTGAAATTGAAATTTTTAATGGGCTATTTGAAGAAGCTAAAGCAACTCCATACTTGGATTCTTCAACTGCAGAATAACATCTGTGTGTTTATGATTATGGATGTTGCCAGCACAGGCCACTTAAGCCACCTTGTGTGTCGGAAGATAATAATTCTGATTCAACCCCCCGTCAGTTCCTTAAACATAAATTTGCTCAGAAAGGAAAAAAATGACCTTGTGAGCAAATAAAACTTATCATTGGGTCGTATTTTGACTGAAATATGTCATACCAAATCCGCCTTTGTTTTTAGACATGTATTTAATTTGACTACGGAATATTCTGTCTACCTGATCGATACAAAGGTATCACGGCGGATGTGACCTGATCGATACAAAAGTCTCACGGCGGATGTGACCTGATCGATACAAAGGTCTCACGGCGGATGTGACCTGATCGATACAAAGGTCTCACGGCCGATGTGACCTGATCGATACAAAGGTCTCACGGCGGATGTGACCTGATCGATACAAAGGTCTCACGGCGGATGTGACCTGATCGATACAAAGGTCTCACGGCCGATGTGACCTGATCGATACAAAGAGCTCACGGCGGATGTGACCGATCAACAAGGGATATATATTATATATAGAAATAGTAACTAAATTATCAAAATAAATTGTTACGATAAAGATTTACTTTTTCACCTTTTTAATTTGTCGAACCATAGGCATTTTTCTCGGCTTGTTCGCCCATCTCCTTTCTTTTTATATCTCTTTGATCAGATCTTTATATAACTATGCCAGGACAAAGAAATTGAATATTACACAAAATCTTTTTAATCTTCAAATATAATAAGTTTTGAAAAGGCTTCAAAAACTCTAAAGAAAAGTTTTTAATGATAGTTGGCCATAAAGGAGAACTTCAAATTTGCTATCTTCGTGTTCTCGATTGCTTTACTATTTAAAGCTGTCTTTGAAAAGTATTGAATTTATAGTAATAAGAAACAAGTTCGAAGATGGTAATTATATAATGTACATTGTGGAGGTTATTGCATGTAATTGATTTTTTTTAATATATTTGTTTTATCTTAATTTAATCTATTGGAATTTAATATATATTTTTTTCTTTTGTTTCTTGTTGTTTGTTTGAAAGTAAGTTTATGTGATGATGCAACGAGTTATTCAAATTACATTTCAGGTCATGAAATCTGTACTTTTGTCTATATACGTAAATTAAAGGAGATAAAAATCGTGTGATTTACACAATTAAATTCACTTACTTCAAGTCTGCACAAGTGTTTAATATGTTAAAAATACGATAAATGCACGCGCCAAGTATATCTATGTGGGTGGCATTTTATGGAAGCATATCCCGAATTCCTCACTGATTGTGCAATAAATATTAGAGTTCAAGGCCAAAATGGAGAGGTAACATAAGTACAAAATATATGGACAGTATCTGCGCTATTCTGCTAAAAAAAGAAAAAAACAAAGTCATATTCCTATCTAACTTGGGGATAATTTTTTTCTCATATTCTTTATTTAATATACACCTGAAGATGCCTTGCATTTCAAGATTTTTTTTCTTTTCGTTTTTATTATAAACGCAACCACCATCGCAGTTTTCTGTATTTAAACTGTAAATAAATCTTCTCTGAGAGGGATTATCAAACGAACTTGTAAGTTTTGAAATTAAAAGAAGTTTTTAGCACATACATTTTAAACCTGTTTAATTATTTGTGAATTAGTTTATAAAAAAGATATATGAAATACGAATATAGGGATCTAATTTAATTATTTGATTATCGAACCCATTTTTTCAACCAAGAAGTTTTTATTTATTATTTTGTGTGTGTTTTATATATCTTTTTTTTATTTAGATTGTTTTACTTTATTTCTTTTTTTATTTGTGTTTGTTTTTTTTTTGTACAAATTGTATCCATTCAATCATAACAAACCAGTCATATATTCTAAACGCAGTTTTAGGTTGTGAAAGCACTCGAAAAGAATCCTCCTTCTCATTCATATTTTCACAAGACAAGGAAGTCTAGATCTCAGGTTATTTTGTTCAACTTGAAATCTTTCCTTACTAACCTTACATGCATGATAAACCTGTAACATTTGATAGACGTACCAAAGACTGATCGAAAGAAGCTGTTCCACTTACCTCATTTTTCAAAGAAAATTATATAAATACACAAACCTTATGCATCCTTGATTTTTTTTTTCTTTTGGACATAGGAAGAGAGTATGCAGGTGGCTTCTATGTTGCGAAATTAGAGTCAGTATAACCTAAAAATGCAGTTGTACGTATACGATCCAAACATCAGATTGTTGAAATAATGAGTGAAGCAAGAAGAAAAAAATGTGATTGACATTAAATGATGCAAATCACTTTTTTTCGTTGGGTTTAATGTACTAAGTTGTTTTAGGAAAAAGATATTGGTTCGTGGATTTCTATAGTAATTTTCCATGATATGTATTAAGCAAAACGTATTTCTATCTTGAGTTCGAACATTTTTGTAAATTTGGTTATTATTATTATTATTATTATTATTTTTATTTTTTTATTTTTTTATTTTTTTTTATTTATTTATTTATTTTTTTTTTGAAAACAAACAGATAACCAGGTTACAAGAAAATGAAGTAGAACATAATTACAAAAAATATCAAGGCAATATAAATTGATTTTATTTCGCGAAAAAGTCAATACAATTGTAAATTAATATCAGGATATACATTTTACATCTACGTTCATTTTACAAAGCTTGCATCTCTCTCTCTCTCTCTCTCTCTCTCTCTCTCTCTCTCTCTCTCTCTCTCTCTCTCTTCAGAAGTCATTAATCTAAGCAGAACGGTCATCGTACTGAGAGGAGATTTTTGGGACTTTTCCCAGGTAAATTTTGGCTTCAGGAAGATTGACATAAATCAGTGGGAAACCTTTCTTTCCTTTCCATTTCTTGAGTTTCGTACTAATGCCAGCAGGGAAGAGTTGTTGGACAAAACGGTAGAATGTCTCCTTCGTTAAGGAATTTTCAGACTGACTGCCCCTATAGCAACTACAAAGAATGTATTATTTTAAAAATACTTACACATTTTTACTATTACATGGATGTTTTATTATCATGAAATAAAATTCAAAAAAGAATTTTTTGCAAGTCATGATCAAAACTCGGTATATATTGTATACATCTTGTTTAGATGAAGAGTGTTCTACTGAATGAATTCTAGCACTCTTGCATTACACCAACTGGAATATTCAAAATACTTTGTTTAATTTCACATTTGATAAATGCATGTATTATAACCTTTCCTTCTTTCTGTTAATTACACCACCGCGGCAAGCTTGACTTCGTGACGAATAAACTCGATTTCCACAACATTTCGGTTTTGGCAGATCCTTCACGGAAAACACAAGACCTAGAAAACACGTGTATTAAAACATGATGACATATGACAGCGAACCTATCCAAAATAAGAAAACTTGAAGAAAAAATACAAACCTTGACAACATTTCTCGCTCTTTCTGTTGAATGGAGTGGCAGATTTTTCAGAATGACAGCAAAGTTGAAAAGAAGAATTGTAAAATCTATCACCGCAACATCGCGTATTTTCATTGGCAGCAATTCGTTTTCCCTTGCAGCAAATTTCTGATTTCTGATTATAAATTTCTGAAACAATGACATGGATAATATGAAATTCTTTACATAATGAACGACACCTATAAGGACTCTTAACATACAAATATGTATTTGGTCAAAATCTTTTGATATTCTTATCAAAATAAATTTGAAAGTTTGACATCTTTTTAAAGTTTACTAACGTTCTCCACAGCAGTCCCCTGTTTTTGGTTGAACATAGGCAGAACCAGACCAGATACAGCATTGCTTAATTCGTTTATCAATCAAAGAGGAGCCACAACATTCAGAATTGGACTGATATGAAGGAACACCATAGAGCGTTGACCGGTCGCAACAAATTTGCTTTCTTTTATCATAAAACTCGCCTTTGCAAATATCGTATGCAATCGGAACAACTGTGTTGTTTAAGCATTTGAATAACGATGCGTTGTACGGAGATTTCCCATCGCAACACTCAAGACGTTGTGAGGTTCCGTTCTTTCCACACCATAGTGCCTTCGCTGAAATCAAGCAAGATATATCATCAGAATATAGATTTTTTTATTTGATACCAGTTGTGCTATCAGTTCCTACAGCAAGAAAGTACCTGTATTTAAAGTTGAAAATGTGCAGTTTAAAATTATTTATATGAACAGTGTCAAAAAAAGTAAGCAATTATTTATAATTGTAGTTTCGGTGGACTTTTTCTTTAAACACACTTGAGTTTCTTAATTGTTCAATTGAGAAACTATTATTGATACTGTTTGGTCTCAAGACCATAAACTGTAAACAGACTTCAATAAAAATTCAAAGTGTGTTATTCTTTGAATAATTTTGAAAATAAAACAAAATTTTCATCCTGTATATGTATTTGAATACATTTACACTATAAACGTGCAGCTTTTAATACATGTTTGTCCAATAAAAATCAAGATAATTTTTTTTAACTTTCGTCTGTTCTCAGTTTATGGTCTTTGAAACATATTATAATTTCAAACAAACCCAACAGAAATGCAGCTATGATTAATGGTCGGGATCAAGTTTGAAATATCCCATGATTTAGCATTGTAACATTTTAATGTGGAATTCGTACTCTCCAACATTTAAACTTATAAATTACTTGGCAAAACTCTACAAACAAAACCATTGCAACCGACCATCTGTAAAGTACGGGAAGTTATATTAATTTGCAAAGAGTAGAAGATTTGAAAATGAGTTAAGTGAAGTGGATGCCAGGGTCTCGATTAAAAAAAAACAAAATGTACATTTAACCAATATTTAAGAAATGTAATTTATTGTTTCAGGGTAATTGCATGTTAAATAATTACATGTATAATGCTTAGCAAATTGTGAGTTTTATGCAAGTATAACAGCCAGTTATGCTAATAAGTTCTAACATGATTTTTATTTTAGTAATGCAAACTAGTTTATTTTCGTAAGTTGTTTCTTTATCTAAGCAGAATCCTAGTCACAGGCGACTAGTAAATTTTGTATGTTGAGATAGATCTAGTTTCAAATAGGCAGATCAAAATTAAAAAAAAAAATATTTGAAAATTAATTCTTGTTAAAAGTAAATGAACTTTTCTTAAGTTTAATTTGCTTACAATTTCGGTCGTTTTTGTTACTTCCAACACATATTCCATGTTTCTTTGATTTTTCACCGACTTCTTCATCACAGCAAAACTCGATATCTGGATTAAATGTATGCTCTACAATATAAATAAAATGAAACAGCATAGTTGCGCCCATGTATGAAAAGGAAATACAAGTTTTCATTTCTGCATCACTAAAACATATTTGAAAATCGGCAAATTTATTCGAAGAGAGTTTCTTCAAAAGCTCCTATTATTATGTAAATGTAATAGAGAGAAAGAGAGATTTACTATGTGTTATACAATAGAAGTTGAAAAATCTGTGGGTCAGGGAAACAGGTAAGTACAATCCCTTTCCTTTTGCAAAATAGGTTTTAATCATGCAACTAAAATTGGTCAAAACAAATAGTCTCATTTCATTAAGTTATTTTTTTTTTCAGTTTTGCAAAATATTTATCAACCCCGTAGTGCTGTGAGTCAATGTTCATCCGACGTATTTTTTTCCTTTGAAATAAAATTGACTAGTCATTATTTGGAATTCATGAGTAATAACTAGTTTAAGAAATATGCTCGTTAAACTAAAATATATTGTATCTTGTATGTTCTCCTTTATTTCGTTTGAAAACCACGCTCGTTTATCAATACTCTAACGTTAAGCAAGCCACCTGGAAAGATTTCTTAAGCAATAGTTTTTCCATCAGTGAGACATGCAATGCCGTGATTATTAGTAATACAATATTTAGCGTACTTATTCCTACTTTATATGATTATTTATACAGACATATATATAAATAATAAAAATCATTTTTTTTTCTTTCTTATTATGGAAATTAACGTTGCAGCTATTGCAGAAAAAAAATCACACAACCCACTCCCGCGGATTATAATTTCTTCTTTTTTTTCTGCAACAGCTGCAACATTAATTCCTATACTAACAACCAAAGAAAGCATTTTATTAAATTTACCTAGAAAGGCTAAGATAATTTTGCACTAAAAGATACCTTTAAGACAAAAGTAAATATATATGTATGAATTATTTCATGAACAAGAAGAAATATTATAATTCTTGCCTCCACAGCATTCCATCTTTACGCCCAAGTGATATCTATCGTGCACTCCTGACTTTGGACAGCAAATCTGCATAGAATTATTGAAGTTCTGTTCTAAAACTTTTTCATTCTTCGTATATACACAACGTGTATAGTTGATCACTATAATTCAAAATTTATATAAATTATTAAAGCAGTCCTGTGCTGGTTTGTACATTTATTTTATTTTTTTTTAGTGCGGCATTATTCTAAAACTAATGCGTACGTATATTGTTTTGGATACATTTTATGTTCAACAATGAAAAGACTATACACGATGATTAAATGTCAACAGACAGACACAGGAAAGCAGTGATTTAGCTAAATATCCGCTGTTTTTAGTGCAAGGGTATATATACAAATAACCCAAAATTCATTTAAACATTTCTGAAAAGCTACACATTGACTTATTTACTTACCGTACCCAGAAGATTCTTTAGAAATAAATACAAAGGACAACAGTACAAGAAAGAATTTGAATTCCATTTTTCTCAATGGATTTTCTAGTAATAATGTGCAATCTTGCTTGATTGGGTATTTATAATGTCTTATGATGACGTAGATGATTTATACATGGCGGATTATTGAGATAAATCCGCTAAAACAATAATCTGGATTTATCTATAACTTTTTCATCGGGAAAACCTCATCCCTCCTGAGATTCAAATGTATATTGTGTATATGTTTTGTTTTGATAAAAACATGAGTGTCATTTCATACTTCAAAAAATATACCAATTGATCTTTACTGTAAAGTCATTATGTAATGACAATTCTATGACGCGCTGAGATGGTATTTGAAGCAGTATCAAAGGTCATACAGGTGTTCTATTGTTTATTTTTAAAAAAGTCATATTATCTTTCTCCTAATGTGTATTTCTTCAACCTTATTGTGTACAATATAGCAGGTGTTAGTTGTCAAGCGATTGCAACTTAACTGCATGGATCAATTATGCTAAATGAAATTATTTCTATTCAGATAATAACTTATTCTCTTTTCTGCTGAAAAAGATCTTCTTCTGACGGGGCTGTACCCTTTACGATCATTTGTGTATCTAGCAAGCACTTTAATAACATTCCGAACTAAAAAAAAATATGTCAGTTCCTCTGATAGTTGTGACCTTCTGGAGTGTATATTTAACAATTGATAGACGATTTTCTTCAAGGTTTTCAAACCTGGATAAAATTCAAGCAATTGATTTAATCTATTGCAACAAGTGCATTTTTCTTTATCTGATTCGTCCTAGTTTGATATTCTATAAGAGGTCCACTACAAAAATAAATCTACAAGTACACGAGGAAAATGTCAAAGAGTACAATATGATTCACAATATTCCTTAAAGTTTTTCTCTGCATCGTAGAGACGCAAAAGTCACCCTAAAGAAAGTGCCATAATTCTTCCTGAAGTTGTTTCTGGGAGTCGAAACACAAACTTACTCCGTAGATTTAATACCAAACAATCACCCTTCACAATCACAAGAACATATGCAAAGATATTCTGTTTTGAAATACGTAAAGATTAGACCATTAGAAAGACAGAAAGGGTTTAAATTGTTCTCCAAAAATCTGTAGGAGGCATCTTTTGATTGCAACCCTAAAGTACATGTGTATACATGTATTGATCCAAAATTATAATACGATCTCTCAGAATTCATTCTGCTTCTGTACATTTGTCACTCTAAAAATGGTAAGTACAAAGTATTCATGCATGCAATTTTTGTATATTTAATCTGCTCAAATAAATGGCGAATTCAGTGGTCTAAAACGTTTTTTAAAGTCCTTGTTACATAATCCTTGTGATTTAAGATCAGGATATGTTTAATCTATGTTTACATTGTTACTTTCTCATATTCTCATTTATATCGACATATCTATCAAAACATCAAGAATTTAACGAGCATGTTTATGAAAGATTTCATGGATATAGATCTATCAACATATATAATGACATAACTTGGTACCTTTTCTAATTATTTGTTTTGTTTTCTCTCTTTTATTCCAAGTTTTTTTTCCTTTTTTGATTTATTTCTTATTTTTTATTTATTTAATAGTACATTTTTTCTTTGAATTATTAATTTCTGTATTTATTTTTTATTCATGTTTGTTAAATTTAAGTTTAAAATGAATCTATTCATCAAATTTAGATTCATTTACAAAGCTGTTATGAACATGATGAAAAATATGTAATAATTTCCAGTTTTCCCCAAACTCATGCCCATCAATGATAATCTTTATTGTTGTGGATGCAGCACTGTCCTTCTGATAGTTAAGTGGCATTATTTTCGAATACACTTGCTGCCCATGCACTCAAAAAGGTGATCCTGACTAATGCAGACTAAATGTTTGTTAATAGCTATGTGAACGTAAACACTACATTAACACATTCATAGTACATAAATATACTTGATATAAGAATTCTTAAACATACACACAAAATTGGAACATTTTCAGGGCACTGGATCATTCGGTGTAAGAAACTGTAAACACCACTATAATTATAATGCTCGGATGAGCTAAGTGTATAAACTGTAAACTATAAATAAAACAATTATTATTGTGTTAAGTCATCCAGAAAATATTTATCACACAATTAATAAAAGCTTCATGTATATGATATAGAGATCAATTTTGTTTAAATGCATCCAAAATATAGTCCATAACACAGCAGATAAAACGTTTTACATACATGTGCGTGTCAAATTAAGGTTTGCCGTCTTCAGCGGAGGACTTTCTTGTTAATCCTGTTTCTTTTCCACTATTTTTATTGTTTTTTCATGCCGATTTTAATTTTTTGTGCACGCAAATTTTCGGAAGTGGTTTGTTCGATTTTCATGAAACTCTGGGGTCGAATAGAACATCAAAAAATATAAACATTCTAACTTCTTTTTGTTGACGTCCCATCCAGTTTGAGGATTTTCGCGATTTGGTGATTTTTAGAGGAATAGTTTGTGTTCGCGGGTTTTTTAATTAATCACTTAGGCCTAATAAAGGATCATGAAATTTTCATCGATGATAGAGCAATATGGTTTAATGTGCACTACGCAGTTCATTTAGACCGGAAATGCCAAACGTTGACGCTTTCCAGGACCCGAGAGATGGCGTATCAAGAATTTCATTTTAACACGTTTATACAATACATGTACTTCATTACTAATACATATTTGTTGAGACATGTAGAATAAAAGTTGTCAAAATTCAAAGTTTATATAATATGTGCCACAAAAAAAGCTGGAAAAAAATTTGCGATCTAGAGGGGCCAAAAGTTTTTCTCCTCAATTTCTCAAAAGCTATTGAGAATTACTGATATATCATTGAAGCAAACTTGTTCAAAATAAAATGTAGCAGCTGGGAACATCAAAACAATCGTCAATTGACGTCACTTCAGTCAAAACGGAATCAGTCAAAATTGCTTATTTTTGCATGGAATTGAAGATAAACGTTAATGAAGTGGTCCGACCACATATTGCATCGAGATTTTTTTTTTTTTACAAATTCGTCCTCAGAAAATGGCTCATATTGGCAAATATCGGCAATAGTTATTATCACCAAAGATATCCAACCTCGTTTTTTCGTCGATTAACGTCACTTACAATCACACCGGAAGTTGTCATAAATTAATTTCACGTATTTCAGCATAGATATCAGCAATCTTTCCTCTAGTTCTCTTTATTTTTGTGCTCAGAGAATGTACTGTATATCCGCTTAATTGATGATGATTTATATCATTCTGAGATATACTGGTACATTCTTTGAATTAAATTCTATGAGTTTTGATAACAATAATGCATTACTAATCATTTTACTAGTAATTGACTTTTTGGTATACTGGTAAATTTATGTTTATTTTTTGCAGTTCTCTTTGAATACAATATTAAAGAAAACGTTTTTATTTTCCTTGTCAGTACATTGTATAATCTAGTTTTTATTTCTACTTATTTCCACTTTTTTCGTTTGTTGGTTTCCTTATTTGGGGTTTTGTTTTTAAAGTATTGTTTTGAAAATTAATGACCAAATGCTCTATAAAGTCAATCATTATCTTGTCATGAATTGTGTATTTCACTGTCGGTAAATAGAATGCCTTGTCCTTTTCCTCGAGCTCAACTTGTAAAATTATATTTATGTAAAAGGCTTACGTAATTCAATTCATTATGAAAAAAGGAAAATGACTTTTAAGGACTTCCTTGTGTCAGCTTTAACGCATGCAATTATACTAGTATTTTCTGAGTATGTTCAAAATGCGTTAAATCAGCAAATAAATGTTGCTGTTGTTGTTGATGATGATTTTGTTGTTTTGAAATACATGACATGCAAAGACGATGTCATTTTAAAAATGTATTAGCTGGTGATCAGCTAAACAAGGTTACATGTATAAGATATTCTTCCAAGATTCTTTCACGATGACGTTCTTATCACAAAAACTGAAGTACCTGGCCAATTTTGATGTGTGGAAGAAAAAGTTTATCTTGTTTTTAATAAAAAAAAAAAAAAGATCAGTAAAGCTGGAGCATTCTTGGAATTTTCAATATTTACGTTTTCAGTAGGAAATTTACATAATATATGACAGGATCGAAACTGGTGATGTACTTTCATATTATCCTACGTAAATGATGCAATAATTGGATTCTATTTATAATGAAAGATTGATCACAATATTCTGATATAAGTATTTGAAATAATGACCTTCTGCTCTAAATTTCACTTTTTTTTTAAATTTCTAACATTGATTTTCACCGTCAACAATTGCATCAAATGGAAAATAGTGGAAAGCATGAAGTGCTGTTTATGCAGAAATGCATTTGAAAATAATCTTCAGAGTCATATGTATTAAACTCATATTAGAAAACAAAATGAGCTTTACTTTTTAAATCAGAATATCACATTGTTAACTGTGCTTCTAAAAAATGGACACAACAGCAAAAGTTTTCTTGATTAAAAATATTTTTAAGGGAATAAATATACTTATAATGAACATTCTATATCTGGTATATGATAAATTACT